ACATGACACATTTCCTTTGTACTTATCACATTTATTTTCTTTTCTCTTGATGCTCACTTTTTCCTAAAGAAGCGAACATAGAAGCATTTTCCATCTCCATTTCAAGCCACTACAACTAATTTAGAAGTGTTTGCTGTTTTTTATTTAGAAGAATAAATTGTTGTGCTCATTAAAAAAAAAAAAAGCATTTGCACAGATTTATGGTATTGGTGGTAACAAACAAATGCGTTTCTTACATACTTGGTGCCAGCCACGCTTTTGGAGCTTCTTTGTTATTTATGAAATCAAAGAACCTTTGTGATGGAGATTACATTATACTGGGAAGACCAGACAATAAATATGCCTAAAATTAGCAAAGTATATTAGTGTTTTAAGGTGAAAACTAGTATGGAAAAAAAAATAGAGAGCAGATATTGATAGAGCCAGTAGATAAATGATCAACAAGGAAAGCAGACACTTGAACAACAGTTTAAACCAACTGGAGCTAAGGTGTAAGCACTACCCAACAATTGCAGAATGTATATTCTTCTCAAGTATATGTGTAATAGTATCCAGAATTGGATATGTGCTAGGGCATTAAAGCAAACTGATAAAATTAAAAGGATAAATTATACAAATTAGTTAGAAATTAATAAATAAAATTAAGAAATTGAGTAACAATATCAATGAAACTAAAATCCTGTTCCTTTAATATAGCAACAAATATTTAGCTAGATTATGACCAAGAAAAACCAGAAGAATTACATTATTAGAACCTGAAATGAAATAGAGGACATTAGTATCAACTTTACAGAAATGAAAAGGATTTTGAGGGAATATTAAGAACAATTATACACAAGTAAATTATATAACCTAGATAAGATAACCAAATCTTAGAAAGAAGTTACTAAAACCAACTTAAGAATAGACCTATGGGGGCTGGAGAGATGGCTCAACAGTTAAGAGCACTGACTGCTCTTGCAGAGGACCCAGGTTTGATTCCCAGCACCCACATGGTGGCAGTGAGCTGTCCTTAACTACAGTTCCAGGGGAATCCAAAGCCCTCTTCTGACCTTCGTGGCATTTCACGACACAGGTGCACTCACATACATGCAAGTAATACACTTGTACACATAAAATAAAAATAATAAATAAAATAGTTTTTAAAACCAGACTGGTGGGACTAACCTTGGATGTTTAACAGACATACTTTGAGGCCTATACTAATTTGGTCAGAGGGACATAAAGGACAGTTTTTGCTCCTTGCTCTCCTAGGTCGACTAGTTCCAGGGGACTATGAGCATCTCTCAAAATGTCCTGTACTTAAATGAGTGTCCAGTTTATAAAGAGGAGGGTCAACACAGAGGAATCATTTCCTCCATGCTTCCAAGCAAAGCCAACCATGGTCGAGCAGGACCTTTTACTTATCTTCACATAGGTGGAACTGGTAAAAGAAAGGAGCCAGGGGCTCCTCCCAAGCCCATGTGACCCCTGAACAGATCCTCAAGCCTTAAGAGTAAAAATAAATTGATTTATCTGGGCCAGCTCTATGGCCTTAAACACCCAAAAGGAAAGTATAACCAAAGATTAAAGGGGCCAATATAATTTTTTAAGAGTCCATATGTATAGCTAAAGGCTACATAACAAGCAACAATGCCAGACAGGAGATACCTTCTTTTGAGTTGTTGCCAGGGTAGCCCAAGAGACTCCCAGATAGTTACGCAGCATAAAACTGGGAAAATGAACAGACCCCAATCTTATCTAAAGGAATATTGACAACTGATTGCTGCTAGATGAGGAACAGCTGACCTTCCTAAAACAAAGACCTCTAGATAGGCTGACTAGATTCACCAGATGAACAAGTACTGAGGAACGGCTGGGGGTGCCAACAACACAGTGGACAGTAGCAGGGATGACAGAATATAGGGGCTTTATTGGGTGGAGGAGAGGCTATGGGAGGGTGCCATCTGGAAAGTTGGTATATAGATAAATAAGATTGTTTGGAATGTTCTGTGTGAGATACACAAAAAAAATTAACAAATTAAAAAATTGAGTTATATTTGAGGAGAAAGCAAAAAAATTTACATCATGTTAATTAGTAGAGGTGATAAACATTACCATTGAAAACTACATGATGACTTTATATCCATACACGGGTGCCAAGGATCCAAGTGCAACTGACCATGACTAGTAATAATCAGATACATACAGATTAGAGATGCATGTGCCAACATCTAAGTGTTATTAGCAAAAACAATGAGTCTTTCTGTAAGAAACAGTATATTTTAAAATGAAATGGAGATCTTTTTTAAAGGTTAAAAACTCATTCAATTTTATGTCTTAAAGGGTTTATGCTGAGTTCAATATTTTATAACTATTAATTCAACTGTGAACCTAAAAATTTTATAGACACTTTTGAAAGAGATGTATCTGTGCTTTGGAAATTGTTATTGAGTATGTCAAAGCTGTAATGAAATGCTTCTTCTAATTAAAAAAAAAATTAAAAGCAAAAGAATAGACCTGTGACTAGTAAAGAGATTAAATCAGCAATCCAAACTGTGCCCAAGTTGCTTCACCACTAAATTCTACCAGACTTTTAAAGGAGGATTTAATACCAACTATTCTCAAACAAATCTTTAAAATTATAGAAGTGAATATCTACCAACCTTATGACTCATTCTGATGTCAAAGTAGATAAATCACAAGAAATGAAAACTACAGCCAATAACTCACATAAACAGGAATATAAAAATCCTCAACAAATAGTAACATAACAAATGTAAAAAAAAAAAAACATGTCATGACTAAATTGGATTTTTACCCTAGGATGATCAGGTTGGCTTAACATCCAAAAGTTAGTGTGCCTCGTATTACCTAATTTTAGTCTATTGACAGTAGACCAAAAACTCAAACCACATGAACATCTCAGTAAATGTAGTAAAAGCATCTGACAGAATCCACAAACTTTCATGATAAAGACATTCAACAAACCAGTAGAAAGGAATTTGTAGATAAATAGCATCTGCATTATATGAGTGGTAAAATATTAGATACTTAGCTTGTATGCTCACAAACAGAGCTAAGTTCATTCTCACCACTTCTATTCATCACTATACTTAAGTCTTCATGCCCTTGTGTTAACAACTGACCATTAGCTAGGACAACAGGAAGAGAGACTATAAATCATACTTCTGACAAAAGAGTTGCATTTAAAATATATTGTTTAAAACTCTTAAAACTCAAAAATAACAGACTATAGACAGGTGATCAGATTGTGTATTTTCTGCAAAGATATACAAGTCATCATTAAGAGAAAAGACGTATGATAGCAGCTCGCAGGAAAACACAAATCAAAATCACCATGAGAGAGAGATACTACTGCACATCCTTAGAATGGCCATAATCACAAAGATGGATATTAGCCATCAGCTATTAAACTGATAAACAAAATATGTACTAATCTATACAATAAAATACTCATCCTGATACATGCTTTGTGAAGCATGGATGAACCTTGAACACATGCTAAATCCAAAAGCAGCCCAAGACTACTTTATATGATTCCATTTATATGAGATTTTTAAACAGGCAAATCTATGGAGATAGAAAATAGGTTAGTGGTTGCTTAGGTATAGGGAAAATGCAGGATAAAGGGACAGTGACCAAAAGGTATGGCATTCATTTTTGAGATGATAAAATGTTCTGTAATTGGTGATGGTGTAAATCACTCTAAATATAAAAACCTCTGATGTATATCTTAAAATTGAGTGAATTATTTAGCACTTGAATTATACTTTAGTGGAGCTGTTTTGTTTTTAATCATCCAAAATAAAGGGTTGTTGAGAAAGAGAGATCATAAGTAATGGGCATGGAGTTGGGTTGTGCTCCTCAAGGAATAGTCTGGAGGATGTAAGCAATGCTGATGGAATTGGCTGTAGATGACCTGAGAAGACCAGGTTTTCTTGAGTGGCAGGACAAACATCTTGTTAGAATGGGTTTCATGCATAATTGGAAAATAGACAGGAGTGTAGGCAACCCTTCTGAGGACATTTTGCTACAGAGAGAAGTGGGGGCAATAATTGACATGAGAGAGTTTGAGCAAAAGCCACCACCTCTTTTTATTATTACTAAGTTAGGTGGAACAGTACTTGTACACCGATGGAATAGCCAACTTATGAGTGAGGATGGGCTAGTGCACAGGTGGAAGAACTGATAGACAGGAGCACTGGTAGCTTACCACCACCTAGAAGGCGAGCATGCTGTGCTGATGGGTGAGAGATGGCAGCAGGGGCAGCCTGTGGCACTTCTGACTTTTTGGTCTTCACCCTAACACTGTGAGTTAGGCTCTGCCGTGATCTCCATTCACGGATGAGGCAACAGAAGCTATGTACAATGATTCACCTATGAGGATCTGAAGCATATAGAAAGGAACCTGCTTTGGGGAGCATGCTGTTATTTCTGATCACTAACTGAAAAGCCACAGTTCTGTTTCATGTGAAGGGACTGAAACTCTGAGACTTATTTTTCTGGTTTTAAATCACTTTTTTTTTCCTTCTTCCTAGTCTCAAAAGCCAGAAAGCTGTCTGATGCTCTCAAGTCAATGATTATCCTGGAAGTGCTATCCTTATGATATCAGTTTCTTAGGAGAAGTGAGACATGCATTATCTCCTTTCTTTCCTTCATGGAGTTAGAAGTAAAACCTTTACTATTACAAACTATCATCTCTCTGCTGTTAGCTGTTTACAGTCTATCCACTAGACGGCAGTTTCCACCCAGGGAACCCCAGCACTAATAGAGGTTTTTGCACAACACATTTCTGAGGGAAATCTCCCTGAGTTTTAAATAAGTCTAACAAAGGGGGTTGAGCAGCCGCCAGCTGAGGGAATCCGCAAGAAGACTCTTCTTACAACTCAATTCAGACATTCCACAGAAGGGAGGAGGGTGTAATTGTTTTAAAAAGCACACAATATTGTTTTGTGCAACACTGTGAACTTAAAATATATTCATAATATTGTCTGTAGGTCCTTTCCAGTCTCAGAAAAAGAACTTATTCCACAAAATTGTCAGCAAATATAAGCACAAAAAGGAGAAGCCTAATGCTCCAGAAAAAGGTATTGGTGCCTTCTACCCTCCATTAAGGTTTCTTGGTCACTTCCTTTGCAGGCTCATTTTCAAGTGATGCTTCTGTGCACCTCCTTCACCTCATCTTCCCTTTGCTTGCTTCAGTACCATCAGCTCCTGATGTGGGCTTTTTCATCCTGTCTGCAGCTAATTGCCAATCTCCTTCACTGAGACTCCACTCCATTACTTGTCTCTTTGATCACAGTTCCACATGAACCCTAAAATTGCTGCTTCTGATTTGTATCTGGTGCATTTTATAATTTTGTCTTCCTGGCCTAAGAAGCCATTTATTTTGTTTGGTTATTCTTATTTTTCTCATGTTTGGCAACCCTTCATATGTTGACCACATTTTCCTATTCCCTCATTTCTTACAATTTCATAGTCATGTGAAAGTCAAACCATTTTTATTCTTTCTCTGCTAGAGATTCTCACAGACCTTTTCCTTCACTCCTAAATTATAAACACACACACACACACACACACACACACACACACACACACACCACACCCATCTACTTCATCATTGGCTGGACTCTTCTGTCTCCTTCAGTCACAGAGCTGTTATTTTTAGAGGGCACTAGAAACTTATGCACTCTATCACCTTGTCCTTCTCTGAACATCCATCTCATTATGATCTTGATGGACCCTTGAACCTCTTCAGGGTTCATCTTAAGATTTCTCTTCTCATAGCTCAAGACTCATTCTTGCACATAAATAGTAAATCTTCACATCTGGCTGGATATAGCCTTGTGATATTGTGGACTGAGCTTTCTTTGGTCTCCCTGCATGTCAGTGTCACAACTACCATAAACCTGCTCATTTGATGCCCTTTAGCGTCTTACTTGCATGGTCAGATGTGCAACATGTCCTATTTCTATACCGAGGCTTTAAAGCATCTGTCTTCTACGTTGGATGTATGTGACTGTGCATTTTTGCCACATAGCCTTTTACTAATTTGTGTTTTCTTCTCCACATCAACTTCTTTCTCTGTTATATATTGATAATATATTTTCCTTTGTTTCCAGTGAATAAACATTATAATGTAGGCAAAAATGTCAATTTTTATTATTTCCTTTTACTGATCCTCAGATTTTCTTTACTAAGTCAAGATACTACCCAACAGTATATTTCCACAAAGGACAGAATTTGCTTGTTTAGTTAGTAAATGCAGTTTTGAGAATAAAATAATTAAAATTAAATTCCATTTCCTTTGCATGTTTTCTTACATTTAAGTTACTTTGTACTTGAGCTTTTAAAATATTTTATATATCTGTTCTAGGAGTAGAGTTTCATTGTCCTTTCCTTTACTGTCATTGTTTTTAGGAAGTGGGGATAAATGGTCGCACAAGCAATTCTTCTTGGATGCCATTCACCCTACAGAAGGTAAAAAAAAAAAAAAAAAAAGTATATTACTAAATTATATATGGTCTAAGGTAAAAATGGAATAATTTTATAGGCTTTTTAAAGAACTCAAAATTTATGTAAGTGCAACCAGCAGTATTAGACCTGTGTGTTCACAATAAGGCTATATTTAATTTTAAATCAAAACTATTTGTAGTTTGCTGCCAGTGATCAGACAATGTAGTATTAATTTCGTCTTTGAATCACATTAACCTGAGACTGAGTTTTTCTTAGCAGATGTGCCTGTGTTGCAGACAGATGGGTATGCACATGGGAGTTGGATTGCACAGTAGGGCCCTCCTAGGCAGGGCAGTTTAACAAAAGTGATTTCTGATTTGAATGTATTCCCTCACCCATTTCCCAGTACCTCAAAATATGTTAAAACAGAATGTACCTGAGGAATTTGTATAGCCAAATAAAAATCTAATACTAGTCATTTTAAGTCCTAGTACAGAATTTATTTTGAAATGTCCAATATACTATTTATACATGACTGTGTTAATTTCTATTTCTAAGCTGCCCTCATTCTCCCCTAACTGATACTCCTTACATACTTTTCATTATAGGTATTTTAAAAGGCAGCATTTTTTAGTGCTTCATTAGAAGTTACTTCATTTGAGCTGGGTGTGGTAGTGTATGCTTGTAATCCTAGCACTTGAGAGATGAAAGCAAAAAGGTCAGGATTCAGCTACATACTTTGAGGCTCACCTAGGCTATATGAGACCTTGTTTCCAAAAAGAAAAAGGAAATTACTTCATTTGAAAAGTAGATGGTATCTTTGAAATATTCTATATGGAAGTTTTATTCTCTTTGTATATACAAAACTAAGTCTATATATATAGTGAGCCATCTAGTACAAATGAATAAACTTGGCTGGGTGTAAGTTGCTCACAGCTGTAATTCCAGCATTCAGGAGGCAGAGGCAGGATTACTGCAAGTTTAAGGTTAGCCTGAGTTACATAGTGTGTTCCAGGCTAGCCAGGGATTTGCTTAAGTCCAGACAGGGCCTTTGATGACCAAATTCACTCATCTCCCTTTCTTTTTGTGTGTGTAGTATAATAATAAGCACATCCTGGGGCATGTGCTGAGGTCCAAGGAGGACTTCAGGTGTCCTGCTCTATCACTCTCTACCTTATTCCTTAACACAGGGTCTCTCTTTGAGCCTGGGGCTAGACTAGCAGCCAGCAAGCCCCAGAGATCCTTCTGTCTCTGTCCCTCACAGATTACAGATGCACACAGCCACACCTGCCTTTTAAACATGGGTGCTAGGTATTCAAACCCAAGTTCTCATGATTTGCACAACAAGCACTCACCCCATGAGCCATCTCCCCAGCCACCCAAGTCCGTATCTCTTAACTCCTAGATACACTTTTGTTCTGTTGATAAAAAGGAGAAAAAACTTCAAAATGCTCATATGATGTAAGTCACTTAATACAATACACGTATATTTAAGATATTTATCCAAAATAGTCAAGTCTGAGTTAATAGTAATTAAACTTTTTTGTTTGGTAGGCATAGCATAGATGAGCCACATCTGCTTTTATGTCATTGTACTTGTATTAAAAAATGCCAGCATTGCCTCTCTTCCTGACCTGTTATTTCACATTCATAACTTCCAAGAAATACTCCCTCTACCTAAGTACAGGGAAAATAAAACAGGAATCATGCTGTTTCCAACGTTAAATCCTAATATTTCTTAATTGAAACATCACTTCTTGTGCATTTTAAAGTATCTTCACGCAGATTTAATCATTGTACGGCACTAATGAGCTGTCAGGATCTAGAGGCATCTGAGCTCACATTTCTCTTCACTTGATATGATGTTATAAATAGTTTTTGTTTTTCAAACACTGAAAACCCTACAAAAGTACGTGTGTACCGGAGTGGAAAGCTCACTTGCCTACAAGTTAGGAGATCTCTGTTCTCAGAACTGCCACTAATTAGTACTTTTCAGCAGGACAAATTGCTTAACCTCACTATGATTTGATCCACATTTATACTAAGCACGTATGTGATTCATGTGCAGGGGCTTGGCTGAATGACAAGATATAGTGTTACATAAACTAAGTTCCCTGTCCCTCTGACACGTGATGCTTGTTTCTGTGGTGTCTTGGTGAGTGCTGTGATACCTGAAACAGCATGTGCAGCAGCTCTAATATTCTGCCTTTGGGAGAAAGGAAAGTAAATCAGTTTTGAATCTTCCAGGCAACCCAAAGACTTTAGCAGAACTAGAGTTATTATTGGTGGTATTTAATTACATATATATTATTAATATATATGGAACAGAACTTTGGAGAACATGCTCTGAAAATCTTTTTTACTTACTATAGAATACAAATTCAGTTATTGTGACCAAGAAAAATGGGATCAATTTGAGTATCAGAAAATTACTAGTAATTTACAGTGACCTTTTTGGGTTATTTACTTTCATACTGTCCCCACTACGTATTTGTTCGAGTGGCAGCTCTGTAAATTATCCAGGCCCTTTGCCTCATCCTCTCTCTCACCTTTGGCCACATCACTGTTTATTAAACTTTGCTTTGCAGGCTGTAAATATATAAGGACAGAAAATAAAACCACAGTACAGGATAGTTTTAACATATGTGAGGGTTCATGCCCAGAAGTGAGTGAGTAGGAATTATCCACAAGGATTCTGGAGTAGAAACAGCGATGCGTCCAGGCCAGGCCACTGTGTTGCTGTTCTCATTCCTTTGTGCTGGGTGTCTTAGTGTTGTAGCACCCTATGTGTATGTCTTTTGCAATTCTTTTTTTTTTTTTAAGAATATTACAAACTTTCAAATCTTAGTAGTACATCTGAGGTGTATCATCTGTTTTGTTTTTCCATGTGAATTAAAAATTCAGAGTGTCTGAGAAGCAGAGACGGACAGATTTCTGTGAGATTGAGGCCAGCCTGGTCTATATACTGTGAGTTTCAGGCCATCTGGGGCTACAGAGAAACCCTGTCTCAAAAAAAAATTAAAATTTCAAAATGTCTAAAGTACTTCCTAAATTTCTTACATATCAAAAAAGGGAGAAATTGCCTGTGGCCTAGACTTGGCAACAATTTCTGATCAGCTGAGAAGACCTATCTCAGCCACTATTTGTCTTAGTATAGAATGTGGTAGCTAACAGTTTCTAGGTGTAATAATGGTAGCATGGTGATAGTTAATGCTTAAGGGCACTTTACAGAGGGCTTTTCTTTTTTTTTTTTTTTTTTAAATTTTATGTGTATGAGTGTTTTTTTTGCCTGCATTTATACTGGTGTACCCATGCATGCAATGTCTGTGGAGGCCAGAAGAGGGTGTCACATTCCCTGGAACTGAAGTTAGACTGTTATGCTGCCAGGTAGATGCTGGGAACCAAACCTGAACCCAGATCCTCTGCAAGAGCAGCTAGTGCTCTTAACTGCTGAGCCATCTCTCTAGCCCTGAGGTTTTTTGGTTTTTGTTTTTTGTTTTTTAACTTAAATTTTGTGGTAACCTTATTGAATTAAGGAAGGTTTATCAGTCCTAAATGCCTGATAACAAATTGAAGATTAACCAGAGAGAGAGAGAGAGAGAGAGAGAGCTGGATTCTTTTCACTTAAGCACTTTGCCCACTACTGTTTCAATTTTTCAGACTTATCTGTAGTCATTTATCCCTCATGCGGTTCAGATGTTGAAAATATAAATAGCATCTTAACAAACAAATTAAGAAAAAAAAAAACTCAGTCTAAAATTATCAGGTTTCATGTTGAACATGGTGGTATGTAACTGTAATCCCAGCATTCAGAAGACTGAGGCAGAAGGATTGCCATGAGATTGATGCCAGCCTGGGTTACATAGGAAGTATCAAGCCAGCCAGGGCTATATAGCATCACACTAGTTTCTTTGCAATGTATAGACCTTTAAACATGATCCACAGCACTCAGTCTAACTTGATCTCTTTTCCCAAGTTTGGAATGATTTCTGTATAACTTCCAGCAAAGTCTCCCAGGATCATTGATTGTGCTCATTCATTTGATTTACTTTCTTTTGTTCCGTTCAGCATCTGATTGCTGTTTTAGCTCATGGGAGACCAACTAAAGTCAATGAGATTTCTGATATGGCTATAATAATTTCAATGCAACTTTGAATCTCCCAGTTGGAAAGTAAATCTCTGAATCTAGTAACCTCCTGGGGTCCAGTCCAAGTACAGCACAGCTTTCCCAAAGAACTTACTCCACATTTGAGGAGTAGAGTTTGGAAAACAAGGCAGTCTCTTATTGCCACATTCCTAATGTGGCACCAGGAGTGAGCTCACATTATCACTCTCAGATGATGCGCTCCACATGTGTTGTGGTTATTGTTAAGTGTAAAAACTAGCCCTGTGGACTTGTTCCAAAGTGCTTGGGTAATTTTGTGTGTTCAATTAAAAGCCAAAAGAGAAATGACTAATTTGCTTTGGAACAACAAAGCTTTTCTTTTCTTGTGTTTCCATTCGTTCCAGGAGGGGAGGAGGGGTTTGTTTTCCTCTCTGAGCTGTTTTCACTCCGTGCCCCACACCACCCAGCGTCTTAATTGCTTTGCCTTGGGTTGGTATGGCTGAACACAGTTGTCATAGACAACTATTTATATGTCTCACCTTCCACAATTTTCTGTTGTAGAAGATTCTCCCTGGGGGCTGACCTTGAAAACCATCCTCTGTATAGGCTACACACATGGCAGCATTTTCTGGAGTTAACCCCAGGTCAAAGCATAGGGCACTCCACTCTCAAACTCTCTAGCATGGTCTTATTTCATACATTTTTTGAGTGTGAATGATCTGTTGGGCCCATGATTACTTCTAGATCTTATATAATAGTAGAGTTAGATGAAACTTCTGGGTGTTACCTCTGGGAGACCTACAAGAACTTGCAGTGTATGCTTTCTCACCTCTTCCACCTGTCTGTGACTTGGCTCACCTCCTTGCCTTGTCCCAATGTACTGGTGTCTAGAGCTTGAATGTAGCTGATATATTGTCTTTACTCCCTCCTCCAGTCTGCTGGCCTCTGATCTTGCCCTCAGTGCCTGACTTCTCCTACCATTTCCAGTCCTTTGGCAGCCATGCCCTTGGCCTCTAACTGTGTGTGGCAGGTCATCTAAAACAGACTTGAAAAACAGCAACCATTGAGTAGAATGCAACCATTCAAAAGGTCACCCGTGAAAACCAGAGGGCTCTGTGCTAGTTCCAGGAGTATTCTTTCCCAGTCTTGGGACACTGGAGCTGACTGGGAGGCTTGGTTTTCCGACAGGAACCTAATTGTAGACTATGTGGCAAAACCATTGTTTTAGGTCTAAAAGCTATTCTAGTCCAACTCACATCTTTTCTTGATGAGACTGAGACCCATGACCCTACAGTTAATAAACTGCAAATTCAGGAGGAGAATCCTGGTTTCTGTAACTTTTTTCTGGCGCCTCATCATCTCTGTGGGAGTCCGGATTTTTGGTCTTTTTCTTCTGGCATCCATACCTTTTCTTTTCCTTTGCTTTTCTGATAAAATATACTTTGCATCTTTGGAACCCTGCTTTGCCCTTCTTACTACAAGTCCTCTTTTTTTTTTTTATTTTTTGGCAAGTGGAAGTAGAAAAGGGAAATTGACTTTTGAGAAGGTCCATCAGTAATGCGGTGGTCATATTGGAGAGATGAACAAAACTCCCTCCAGCTAGAAGGGCAACTGGATCTGAATGAGAAATGAGCAAAGTTGAAGCTTATGAATATGCAACAAAGACATTCAATGCTTACTGTAAATTCAGGGTTTGACTTTTTTATACTTACATGAGGCTTTGAGTTTTAAGGCCATAATAGACATTAAATATCTTTGAAGTATTTCTAACCAGGAAGTATTTCTAACCAGATTGTTGTTTATTTTTGCTTAAATATTGTATTAAATTTTTTACTGAATAGTTTTAAAAACTAATAGGAAAATGCTTATTACTTTCTCTACCTAAAAATCTTCAGACCAGCCACTGGAATTGAAAAGAAAAAAACTTACCATTCATAAAACTTTATTATTTGTATTTACTCTTAAATGTTTGCTATTCTTGGAGGTGCATACTCTTTTAATCGTAAAGTAAAGGGATGGGAAAGAGGAACTCCTAAGAAAGTAAATGTATGAGACAAGTGTTCCCATCCTACTGAAACCAGAAAGGAAAGCTCTGATGGCAGGTGCCTTCCTCACTCTTGCTGTGCAGAATACAGTGGTATGTTCTTAAATGACTTACTAGTTTTACAATTACAGTTCCAAAAATCCATGAGCTCCATGAGCTGTGCTTTGTTAAATTGTCTCACTAAGCACATTCACTTTGTCCTAGAATTCAAAGAATTTCATCTGCATGCTGACTTCACCAATATTTGTCCTGTTCTTACTGAGATGCCAATACGCATGAAAAGAGTTCAAGCCCACAATTTTCTTTTCTGATCAGTCCAATCTGGTGCTTGAAAACAAATGTCCCAGCTATAAAAGTCCATTTAAGAAGCACATTTTTTAATTTTAATTTTTTTTTATTTTTAAGGATTTCAAACATGAGTATTGTCCATCCCTCCCAGTCTTCCACCAACTCCTCCCATGTCCCCTACTCTTTCTCAATTTCTTATCCTCTTCTTTGATTATTGTTACATATACATACATAACACTTATATATAATGCACTGATACTCGTGTACCTGTGCTTCGGGCTATCCATTTGGGATTAGATAATCCCTCGGGGAGCTAGCCTCTGGAGAAAACTGATTCTCCCTCCCTTAGCATCCATTCATTGCCTGCATTTCTTCATCTTGAGGTGGAGCCCTGTGACATTCCCTCATCCATCCTTGGCATGTCAGTTGGTTTTGCCATTATGCAGATCTTGTTAGACTACCATACTGTGGAGATTTCATTGGTGCAGCTTCCCCTATCATGTCTAGAATGCATTAACTAATAGCAGGTATCTTGTCCCTCTGGCTCTTACAGTCATTTTTCCCCCTCTTCTGTGGTATTCCCTTAGCCTTGGGTGTAGAGGTTGTACTGTAGATGTGTCACTTAGGGCTGGGCATCTCACAGACACTTATTCTCTGCATTTGACTAGTTGTGGAACTTTGTAATAGTCTGTTGCAAAGAAGCTTCTTTGATGAGTGGTGAGAGGTACACTTGTCTGTAATATAAGGATATGTATTTAGAATACAGTGAGAAGTTAAGTTGGCCTAGGGACATGACAGAAGTAGGTTTTTCTCTAGGGTCTATGACTTCTTCAGCCATGTATATTTAGCTATGCTTACAGTACCATGAATGATTTCCCTCCCGTTGAGCAGGCTTTAAGTTCAATTAGACAGCTGTTGATTATCCCCAAAATAAAAGTGCCACTACTGCATCAAAAGAGATAGTTTGCTGGGCCAGTCATTTTTGTAATTCATATGTAGACTTTACAGCTGTGCAGGATCATTGATTGTTTTTTTTTTTTTGTTTTGTTTTGTTTTTCCCCTTGGCAGCTTGCATAGTATCTTCAGATACTATGAGAGTCAGTCTTTAGGGAGGAAGCTTCCAGGTCAGTTCCAGCTTAAGTCATATTTAATCTCTGTGTCTTAAAAAGAAAAGAAACTACTGTTAACCACCCTGTTCAACTCATCTGAACCAAAGGATCTCAGATAGGTACCCAGATCACATCCAAGATTCAGAATCTCTTAGGATCAGTTGACTGGTTCATAGATACTAGCACTTCCACTCCCTTCCCCATCTACAAGATCTGAAGTTGTTGAAGATGTTAAAAGGGAGAGAGGGAACTGGGGATGTAGCTCAGTGGTAAACTACTTGCCTATCATATGTGGTGTCCTGGGTACGATACCTAACACCACAAAAGAGGGGTGGGGGAATGTATTTAATCCTTTGCAAATAATTTATCAAGGAAAATATAAAAGCAGCAAACAAATGATGGGAATGTTTTGTTTCTTTTTTCTGTTGTGTTTTGAAAACTCGGAATGTAAATTCTCAATTCAGATCGAGTCAAACATGCAGAACTATTTCTTCTCCAGAGTAATGTTGGTGCCTCTGTTTCTGTGTGTAATTGTATGTGGTTTGTCCTATTTCAGCCATATTTTCAGAAGATAAAATCACCACAGAGCCTGCTCATAAGGTTAAAAATGCCCTATCCATTCCCGTCACTTCAGAGCCAACAACAATGCAAGAACCTTTGGTGGGCAGTCAAAAGAGAAAAGCAAGGAAAACCAAGATCACACACCTTGTCAGAACAGCAGATGGCCGGGTATCACCAGCAGGAGGTACTTTGGGTAAGAAGAGAGAACTTTAGGCCAAGATTAAAGTCAGATATCCAGGCTACACTGACCTGCAAGTGACTGGCAACAAAGTATGGTTTTTCATTGAATAGTTGGCTTTCTCTAGGTCTCCAAACATATTTTATTTCATGCTTTAAAATCATAGCTGTTTTTCCAAGTGTATATCTCTTCTTGGGAAGGAAAGGTAAATAATAGGACTGTCACCTTCTTTTTCTAAGTATGTATAAAAACAGTGTTAAGTAAATTACAGAAGAGCCTAGACTTTCAAGGATATTGGATGACTCTGAGTAACTCCATAGTGTCCTATTTTGTCACTACAAACCAGGTTATCAGGAATTTAGTGGGTTAAGGAATCTGAAAATGTGTCCTCCAGCACTTTCTTTAATGCAAATTCAAGCCACTAGGGGAGTCTGAGAGTGTATCTGGATTTCTTGAGTTTTTCATCTAAACAGTGAAATTACCCATATTCAAACATAACTTATGGTCTGTTCATTGTTTCTGGTGGTCGCCATAATGGTAGAATTATCTGAAGGACCGAGGAAAAGGTCGGGCAATGACATATCCCCAAAATCTTGGGTTGCAACCAGCTGGGCATTCATAATCTTAGCTGTTGCCTTTTAGCAATTCTAGCATTTCATTTTCTCTGATTTAGGTTAATATAGGTGTTCATAGAGATAAATTGTTTGCTGAGTTAGAAGTTGAAAGCAGTTAGTTTATTTTTCACTTTTTCTTGTACCTTACATTTCTGATCATTAGAACAATATGCCTTTATGGTTCTAATTTTGGTCTCATATAAGAGGTGAATTCAAAGACATAGAATTTTGTGACTGAATGATAAAGACAGTGAAAATTAAAATGTTGATGTACTCATGTTTAATCCAGCAGGCCCCTCTCTTCTTCCCTCTCTAGTCTGTTTTCTGCATGTGTGTAATGAGTGTTCATTACCTTTAGCCCCTATTACTCTAGCTTGTCCCACTACTGGTCCTCTTTTCCTAAATAGTCACCTTTCTATTTTCAGGTGTAACTTCCATTTTATAGATTGCTATATCCTTGCTTATTTATATCCTTATTCATTCTCATTTGTAGGAGAAAATAGAAATTCTAAGAAACTCTTGTTTTACATAGGTCGCACCATGCGACCTTTATGTTCTAATATATGACATTCACATCTTTTAACAATTTTCAATATTTTAAAAAACATTCACTTTCCCTCTCTTCTGTGAGGTCTGTATAATGAGGAAAGGGCTCTCCTTTGCAGCAGGTATCATTGCATAGTCTTCCACCTGCCCCCCTCTTCATAGGTACTGGAAGGGCCTTTGCCTTCTTCCCATTAGGTCTTCTAAACACAATAGCAACTTGGGATCTCACCAGGACTGATTAATCTGTTGTTTAGTCCACCCTGAGTATTAGTATTACATCAAGGCAAAGTCCCCACTGCCATGGTAGTAGGTGCTTGTGACTCCTTGAGAAATATGTACCATAGCAGTTCCCTTTGGCCAAGGTTCATTTTCTTTCCTTCTCACCCCATTCTTTGACCTCGGATAAAACACAGCTTCTCCTCAGCTTAGCTTTAGGGCACAGTCTATAGTGAAAATTGCAACTGAGCTTAATGAGAATACTTTGTTACTGTGGAAGAAAAGACTCTGTAAAAGCCTTAATACTCAGAGGACAGCAGAAGTGAACAGAAAGGTGGCTTTTCACAATGTCTGGTGCATTTTCTCTGCATCCTTCTCTCAGTGATTGTCTGGTGATGGATTTCCCTTTTGTTTCAGATGACAAACCAAAGGAACAACGGCAGAGGAGTCTCCCTAAAGCACCTGAAACAGACCGCAGTGATTGCTCACACAGTGCTGAGGTGGAGGAATCACGGAGCCATACTCCAGAAATGCCTGCCGTGTCTGCGTTCTTTAGCCTTGCAGCCCTGGCTGAGGTGGCGGCCATGGAGAATGTGCACAGGTGAGTGGTGGGATGTGAGTGGAGGCAGCATTGTGGAAACCAGCCAGCCATTTCAGAGATGATGGGTGGCACCTGATACCATGTACTGGGGTTCATTCTAAGTTCAGAGGTACACTGTTTATCTGAGTTGCCACAAAAGTATGTATGCTAATTAAGTTTGGGAAAACTTGAGGGAACCTGGCCAACAGAGTTATTTTATCTTGAATATTGTGTTATCCTGTGGCTGACTTCACTTCCATAAAATGCCTGTGAGCAGAGAAGCAGCATTCTGAAAACATGTGGCAAGGACTCTGGAGTCTAATTTCAGAGCAAGGGACTGGGGGATGGGCAAATCAGTATCTTGAGCATGACCATTAACCACCCTTACGCTCTGCATTTTTGCTTTTGTGTTTTATCAGGAGTGGGTGGCACTCATCTCACAGAGATGTGATGTGTGATGACTATGACATCACAGTGCTGAGGATGGTGTTGGTGGCAATGGCAATACCAGCCATCACAATGTGGGTTCAGGGGAAGGAATATGTTGGCATCGGGCAGACAGAAGCCCTTTATTTTTCTTCCACTCTGATATGCTACAAAGTAATTTATTTCTCTGTACCTCAGTTTTCTCTCCTTACGTTGAGCATAATGATATCCCCAAAGAATCACAAAGTTGTAAGGATTAGAGAAGATCATAATCATGAAACTCTTTGAACTTGTGAGGCCTCATAGAAAGCATGTTAAATTCTAAGAGTCTAAGTGTGTATTCTGGTACTTAATGGAGCCTTGGGGAAAGCACGAAGTCCAGGTATTTTTTTTTTTATTCAAAGTGGATTGTTCATGGATGAGTAATCTTCTTAGACTTTCAGTCTAGCACAAAAGCACTGAAAGCCTAGGACACTGTGTAGATGTATATTGTGTTTATGTTCATGCCCTTCACACCACTAGGGAAACCAGGGGCCCCAGTGAGCTTTGCCTGCTCTGGCTCTCTGTCAAATCGCAGTTCTAGTACTTCCTCACAAATAGCTTCTAGAAGTCAAATACCTTTCCATGTGTGCACTGCAAGTTCCCACTGGTGAGTAAATGCTGACAGGCTTTGTCAGAATCTGCTAAGCTCTCTGAGAGAGATAATGCACGAATGTGTCTCTATTTGTGCAGTTTTACAGTTGAGTCTAGAAGACAAACACCTGACATGCAAAGAGAATTTCAAATGCCTGCCTGAATGTTACTAGGTGCCCCTATGAATGGAGGAAGTGAGAGGTAGTATAAGAACGCAAGGAAATCATAATTCAGTGCCCAGAGAAGGATGATACACCTCACTGCCGCCTGCATTTTCTTCCACACATGGCTGCGGTCACACCATTGGCCTGTTAACCACTCTTTGATGACTCCAAATTTGCAACAACAGAAAGTCCACACAGCCCTTTCCACACTCAGCCAGTCTTCCCGAACCAGCACTCAAACTCCACAGTCGTGCTCGGCACTGGTGGAGTCCCTGGCCCCTTGCCAGATAAGCAGAGTCTTGCTACTGAATGTCTTCACAGAATTGCTATCCCTCCTCCCAGCTCTTGTGCCTGGTCCCCTTCTCTCAGATGCCTTCCCACCAGTGCAACCATCATGCTTCATGCTTCCCTACAATGTGTACATAACTCCCTGGGACCAGATGCACGTTGGACCAGCTATCATATCTGCTGATGTTTCTGTCTCCTCCCAATATATTTTGAAGGCAAAGCACTGTTTTTACTCTTCTTGTCCCAGCTTGCTTAGATGGACCTGCTCTATTGATCCATGAATGAACTAAAGAGTAGATGGAAGGAGGGAAGGAAGATGGATGAATGAATGAGGTAGTTCTTAAAGTATGATTGCCTAACTTAGTAAGAATAGAAAATATGATGTGAGGGTTTTAATTTCCATTATAAAGAACAATATTGGTTACTAAAATTATACCATCAACCTAACAAATGACTAATGTTCTTCCTATCTAAAAAGACAGACTGGAGCATCTTTGTTGTGAACTTAGCCGTCACGTGTTAAAATAGACCTACTAGCCTGCATTTTGCCCATATAGGCTTAATGTAATTGTCTGGACTACACACCATGTAATTACTACTTAGACATCACCTGTGTCCACAATTTACAGGGTGACCCACAGAGTGAGGGGTAGAATATGTTATCTGCATTCTTGCCATACACGATCGAACATTAAGTTCAGAAATCTATCATGGGCAGTCTTAACACAATAGAAGAAACTAGAGTTGAAGCAAACTTTTGTTAAGAGTGTTTGTTTTCTAGATATTTGTTAAGGAAGGAATCCTATTAAACCTAATCCTTAAACTTCAAGGTAGATCTTTGTAGTCCCATTTTAATGGTGGTGCAGATGATAACCTTGTGAAGAGCACACAGCTGATTCCTGCCTGAGTCATGATTTGAATTGAGGTCTTGTCTGCCCTTTGCTCTAGCACATTACATAAGCAAGTATTAGTTGCTATAGACAGGAAGAACCTTGTCCCTGTTTTTCTTACCCTTTTAATTTTTTTTCTTTTCTAGTACTTCCTAAAATCTTTTGTATTTTTTAATTTGATTATCTAATCATAAAGATTAAAACCCAGCGTTTTAATTCCATTTTTCTTGAAGAAAAAGCTGAACACATTAAACAGTTAGTACTTAGAGTGTCTACACATGAATGAACAAATTAATCCTAAATATATTGTATTGTTCATATATTGTATTGTTCAGTGGTCAAGGATTCTAAAATGCCCCCCGGTGTTCTAATGTATCAATATTAGGGGTTTTTGTTTTTGTTTTTTGTATATCAAGAGGAACTTAGGTGTGGTTATGAAGTAAGTATTACTTGAATATTAAAATAGCCTCTTCGGTATTGTTAGTCTGAAGAAGAAAACTTTATTAGAAGGTGAACCCAATGGAAACGCTGCTGTCACTTTGCCTATGTTCAGTGTAGCACTGTGGCACCACCAGGTCAAGGAGGAAGGACAGTTCCAGTGTGCTTGTCTGGGCATGGCAGCCTGTTGGGCCACCTCAGGGAAGGTCCACCCTTACATCTTAGAATGAGAAGTTTGGTCAAAGTTGCCAAGAGTTTTGAATAGCCTTTTCATAACCACAAGGTGTGTTTTTTACTACTAAACATACAAAAGCTGAATGAAAAAATAGCTGTGTGGGGCTAGTGAGACCCCATCTCAGAAAACCAAAGAGGGAAAGGAAAAAGGAAGGAGAGGGAGGGAGGCAAGAAAGAGAAAGAAGAAAAGTCAGCTGTGTTTTGGCTCAGATCCAATCCAATTTCCATGAACTCTCTAGTCCTGTCTGAAATTCTCCCTCTGTGTATATTGATTTTGGCCCAAGTATTGGGCTGAATGTTCTTATTATTTAAAATACCAAGTCAGTACTTGTTTTCTACACACACACTCTCTCTGTCTCTCTTTCTCTTTCTCTCTCCCTCCCTCCCTCTCTCTTCCCTCTATGTAGCTGTGAAACTTCATGTGAAAGGTTTTTGTTGCTTCTTCAATCCTTTCTTTCTTTTTCTCTCTTTATCTCTTTCGAGGAGTTCCTTTCTCTTCAGAAGGGCTTAAGTTTAAATTAGGTATATTATCCATCTTAAGAAATGAGGCTGGCAATTATCAGTCACTATAGGGCAGTATCTCTTTGGGCAAATGGAACAAAGGAAAGTTCATTTGAGAAAAATCCATTCAAGAGGGGAAGATTGTTTTCCTAGAACCCTGGTCTTTGACTGAAGGTTTTCCATTTCTTACAGAGTTGCTCCACATCTATGAGTATTTTAGGTTTTATCTCTATAAGTACAAATAGCATTTGATGGTGTCAAGAAAATACATTGTTGGGGTGGGGAGTAAGGTAAGAAATATTCAGAAAGGAAAGAAAAGGAAAATTAAAATTCTGTCACACTTGATTTAATTAAATGACTTATCTATCAGTATCTGTTAAAGAAGATATAGGAGAGCTTTTATTTATTACCCATCACCCCCCCTCAGATAATATACCCTCAATAATGATTTTTTTTCCCTCTTGTTTTACAGAGGTCAGAGGTCAACTCCGCTCACCCATGACGGACAGCCAAAAGAAATGCCACAGGCTCCTGTACTTATTTCTTGCGCCGACCAGTGAAGCGCCCTTTAATTGTAAAACATTGTGCTTTACCTACTACCCTAGCCTTGTCTTTACCAAGGGATGCTAGCGAGTTCATGTGGTGGGAAATGCAGACTGCAAACAAGTGTTTGTTGCCCCACACAGCCCAGATTCACTTGAAGCAGAACTTTGCGTCCTGGGCCCATCTGTTGTTTCGTAAGCCAGAATCTTTGAGGGCTGTGTTACCTGTGTGATACTGAGTGGAAGCAGTGACCTGGAGCTTTGCTTTCCATGAATGGCTTTTGGTGGTAACCAGTGGTAACTCGGTAAAAGGCTGCCTTCAGTATAGCTCATCCAGCATCTCTTTTACCAACCAGAGAGTGTGAAACTAGTTTCATATATTACCTAGTTATTCTTTCAAAACAAAAACAAAAAACAAAAAAACTGACGCACTGCACTAGTTATTATTAGATATTCTTAGTCTTTTTTGTACATGGAGATTTAAGTTCTAAGATGGTTTATATAATAGGTTATACCTACATTTATATTGTAGAATAAATATTAAAAAGCCTGTACCAGAGACTCCCAAGCAGCATGGTCAGGCAGACGTACCATTGTTAGCGGTGTATGCTCGGCCTTGTGGTCCATATATTCTGCACTTTTATATTTGCCACCAGAGTGGTAGTTTGCTGACAGAGAGAGAGAGAGAGAGAGAGAGAGAGAGAGAGAGAGAGAGGAGATTGATTGAGAAAGAGAATATTAACAATTCTTACAATCTGAATTTTTTCTTAGCCTTGAGTGACCAAGAAGAATTTGCTTGGGGCAAATTGTGGCAAATATTTTCCCAGACAGGGGAAGCATCCTGCAGATTACAGATTACTGATGTTTTCATGCCTTGAGGATTCTTTTATTTTTACACAGGGGTCTAAGTGACCAATGGATCGTTCATACAAACAAACAAAAAAAGACAAAAATATTATTCAGAAGTGACCTTAGTATTACTTCACTATTCTAAACACATTGAAGACACTCACTTCAAGTGGACTTGCAGCTTCAGACCTTTTCCATCCATCACAGACTGGACGGGTTGCGATTGCTATGCACGGCCTAATTGGCATTGCAGGTTGTAGAGCCATTTCGAGTTTGTATTGTTTAGGAGGTTTTAAGTAAATGATGAGGGAGGTGTGTCTGAAGTACATCTCTCAGTCAGAGCCACCTGCAAGTTTCTGTTTCCTTTTTATATTTTTTTCTTTCTTTTTACTTTTAAGTATAAAACCAACCATATGCCAGTGCCAAGTGGATTAACTGGCTTAGAACATTCAACATATTGACTTAACCACCTGACGTTCACAGTGTCTTGTTTCCTAGCAACAGATGCAAAGTGATAAATCAAAATTAATCTGAGGCTACAGATTTTACAGGGTATTTGTTCCATAGCACAAAGTATTTCCCTACTCTTACATCACAGCACAAACTACCAAATTTTAATTTTTGGATTCCAGCAATAATTTTTAATGATTTTCAAACTGGTGGAGTTTTGATAGTATTAGTTGGAGTTTGAAGCTTTTGAATTAGATCTCTAAATGGTGACAGTTTACATGGTTTTATCTAGCTTTCTTATTTATACTTGACTGAATTGTAATGATGATGATTTTTTTTTCTAATTGTAATTTGACCTTATGGCCATATAAAAATGATTGTATTAATACTGTCTAGGCTTAGCTTCTGTGGTTGTAGATATTACTTCAGTTTCGGTGCTGGAAGATATGTACAACATACTAACAGGATTGAAAAAGATACAGAGGGTTTGTTTTTGTTTTGTTGTTGTTGTTTTTCCAAAGCAGGTAGGGAGGGCAGCAGATATTAGAATTGTGTCCTCAAAAATAATATTCATTGTGGAGATGGAGGGAGCAGGACTTAGAAAAATAGTGAATCAGTAGGTACAGCTTAACCCCATTCACATAGAGATAAGTCAAGTGAACAGTCCCAGATTTTAGCATACTATTTTTACTATGATGCTATTTTAATAGTATTTTCTAAATTTTAAAACAAAAAAGTGAATGTTTGAAAATTGCTGGGTCCTGATATTGGTGGCTGTTGGAGTTTTGGACCACTTGCTAGCAGTGATTTAAAAATGAAATTAGCTGAAACCCAAAAATAATAATAAAGGTAGAAAACCAACAATTGTATGGTGCAGAACATGCATCTTGACAATGGTACTAACTTGTTACTCTCTAGAACACATTAGAATAGATCTGTTTTTGCCAGAGCACCCTCCTTCAGTCCTCCAAGTACATTTCACTAGAGTTCCTTAAGAGATTGCTGTATATTCCTGGGACCTTTTTTTAAAAAGAAGCGAAACAAAAGATTACTTTTTTCTATGTGATTCATATCTTACTTGATCTGTTTTTTTCCTAAACCTCAGTGGCTTTTCCCTTAGGCAGGATGGGAGGGTGGGGGCAACATACTAGATATGACTTTTTTCAGATACTTTAAAACCAACCTTTTTGTAGAAATGCTTAATTTTTAGGCCGTTAGGCACCAAGGGTGGCACACTCCTGCATATAGCTTTGCTGTTCCCTAGGCCCCGACTCTGTCTGCTCTATCAGCTGGCAGCGAGGTCTGGATGGCAGTGTCCTGCCTCTCACTCCTGCATCTACTGGAAGTAGGTGTTGGCATTGTCAGGAAACATTTGTTAGCACAAATATTTCAGTCCTATATGTTGTACCCCCCATTATCATCATCATCCTCATTTTGAAAGTTCATATTGCTATGGTCTGTACCTGTCAGCAAACACTATCCACACTAACATTTGTCTCACAAACCCTCAAGAAAACAAGTTGCTGCACCTTATGTATATCTCAAGCAAACCAAAATACTATGTTCTTCTGCTCTGTTATATTCTAAATTGTTGTATCATATCTTTCTGAAACCATTCTGCATTTAGTTGAAATTGTCAATATTTATGCTTTTAACCCTGATTCCTAGATTCAAACCTGTACATAAATCTTCTTTTAAACATTGTCTTTGCCCTTCTGTGCAGTGCTGGAAGCAGAAGATTTCGTCTCAGATGGAGACGTAGTACTCTTCCAGCTTTCTTTAGCCTTTTATTTATTTAGTTATTCTGGTATTTCCTATGTAATTTTGAAGTGTGTAGAATATATTATAGTAACTAAAACTGCAGCTTTTAAGAAGCTGAGTGAAAGAAAAAATACTGTAAGACATCCTTGAAGTTTGTATTTGTTTGGTTACTGTATATGAGATCAGGAAAGGGAAAATGTCCCACAGCCACATTGGAAATTATGAGTTCCTGTCCCTCAGATTAGGTTACTCTGATAGTAGATCAAAACTCTTAATTCATTAAACTCCTTTTTGAAGGATATTGTAATTCTATCAGCCCTTTCCCAACAAGTATCAGAAACTATTTCATTTTATCAGCTGTTGTTTGGAAGCCACGCTGAAATAATCCCCATGTCGTTGTAGTCTCCTTCCTGCCTCTACAAGTGCTAGAGAAAAGCTGGTGGAACACTATGAACAAAAGGAACATCTGGCCAGGTCTGGTGGTTTAGAATCTGACGTGTTCAGTCCCTGTTGTTTTCTTATTAGGTCAGATGTTATGCTAAGTCATAAAAATGTGTTTGCACTCTGCAGTCTTTGGCTCAATGTATGGAAGTGTTTGCACCAATGTAAAATCTCAAGCAAGTGAGAATTGCTATGGAACAGGCATTAGCTAAAAACTGAATGGCATGCTTTGTTTATAGGCTGGGGTGGGAAATACTAAATAGCTCTGTTCCAAGCTTGGCATTTGATGTTAATGTGAAGCAGTGGGACCATGCTGCCTGCTAAACTACTGTACAAGTCGCAAGTGTTCTGAAGACCAGCAGCTGGAAGCTGGAGGACAGCACGCATAGACAGAGGAGAAGCACCACCGTTCATCAGGGGAAATGAAGAAATAGGGGAGGCCCGAGTCGAGTCACCGTTTGTAAGAGGAACATTGGGGTGAACATGATGCTGTTGAGATTCACCTTTGATTGCACTGCTCCACAGAGCCCTCAGATAAGGCCAATCCCCATGGGCTACCTCGGCTTTAAAAGTTCATTTCAGCAAGTCCTATTTCAAAAGTCTGTTTTGCTTCTACCTTCAGTGCCACTATTTTCCACTGCAGTGTTTTGACTCAACCCACCTTCTCCAGAGAGAACAACATATTGCCGAAAAGGACAGTAGATGCAAATGCTCTCGTCACATTTGACCTATGAAGTATTCAGAGTGACTGCTAAGTGGACATTAAAATTTAGACTTTTCCCACATAGGTCCTTGTTTTGCACTTTATACAAAGTGTACTAATTGCTAATTAGATTTTGCTTCTGTTTATACAGGCGTTCCCAAAGAGTTAGATTGAACTTGGTTTTATTTGAGTTTGGGGATTTTTTTTAGAAGTCTTACTTAGATTTACTAACAACATATGTATAATGAAAAAGAAGCAGTTGTGTAGTTCATGGAACCATGTATCTGGTGAAGCTTCAGGGTTTGGTGGACTGCTTTGCTTTTAACTTGGAAGTGATCGCTAAGTTCATTATCCTCCTAGTAACTGACTGTCCTTGTCACTGGGGACAGTATTTTCTTACATCAGAACAAAGAAGCAGCAGAAGTAAACAAGGCGTGCATTTGACTTCATACATCTGCATCTATCTGCTTACCCTTTCCTTTAGGTATATAAATAGACATTTTCTGAGGGAAAAAAACAATTCCTCTTTTGACCAAATTGTATCTGTGGTGGTGTGATTTTTTTTTTTTTTAACTAATCCAGAGGAGGAACTTTGTAGGTTAAAAGTTCTTTGATCACTGTTTTGTTTTGTTTTTGTTTCTTGGCAGCCAGTGGACAAAACTGATCATGCCTTCAGATTGATTTTCAGGCACAGAACTAGTTTTTGTGAACGTTACTATTCCTTCCAAAGACTTCCTGATAACTTGGGCCAGAACTGGCAACTGAGTCACAAGGGTCTGATTGAATGCCTCCAAACCCACCCACAACACAAATCTTACCTCACAAGCTCTAACCTAAATCATAGAGACACTCATGTTCCATGGACTGTCAGTGATTTCTCTGTTGCTCACCAGAAGGCGTTTGCTCATGTCCCAACACCTCCTCAGCTTTGGCCCTAGGAGCAGCAGGACTAGGATGGGGAAGGTTTGAGGATCTACAGCTCAGTAATTTGCTCAGCCACATTTCCATTTCATTAGCACTAAACAAGCCTCTTGCTCTCAGGAATGTTATCAGAAGGTTAATAAAACCACCTGAGATTCCACACACCAGATCGGTTTGAATTGCTTACTTACATGTCATAAATTAACCATTGCTTCATTTGACCCCAGGCCTTATGTCTGCTGAGTTTCAGCATGACCTAATGATCGTTTTTTTGGTTTGGGGTTTTTTGTTTGTTTTTTATTTTTTTGTTTGTTTTCTGTGTTTTTTTTTTTTTTTTCTTTCTTTCTTTTGGAAATTGGCTTGGTTCTCTTTACAGTTGGTGTAAACATGCCATGTAATAAATGATTTCCACTTAATGGTACAACAGAATTATTGCTTTCTTAGATGTATGTGTAGTAAAAGTCAATATACACATTTATATTTCTTCAAAATCTTATACTTAATTTGATATTTCTAAAAATTGCACATGTAAGTCATGTGTATAACATGCTAAAGTACTTTAACTGTGATCTTAAAACTGAATAAAATATTTAATAAAAATTTTAAATATTTTAAAGATATTATTCAAATACATTTCTTTATGTTCACACTCCCCAACCATACAGAATGTGCCTTCAGTGGACCATATCCACTAAAATCAGTAGTGAAAATTATAAAATATACTTTAACTACTTCAGAACTTGAGTGACGATTTCCCTTTAAACCGTATTCTGCTAAGATTCATCAGTGTCTTAAGGAGCTTTGGTTTCTCTTTCCTAACATGTAGGGTAGACAAGAGTCTAACAGAAGAGTCATTTCAGTCTGCCACTTGGGATGATAGCTTTGGAGAAAAGAGATCTGAATATACTCTTTTCCTACACTATAACAAAACTCTGAAAGTTATAGCATGTAGACCACAGCCACCTGTATTATAATCTCAGACCTCAAGTAGGATGAGTAGAGTACACCTGAACCTTAAGTCTTATTTTCAAAAAGAGAGAGAGGAATTATTCATACAGGTGTGGTTCAGGCCTGGGCCCACCCACTTAGCATTGGGTTAACCTCCTGTTGCCAGAACTCCTTGGGGGGGGGGGATGTAAACAATGTCCACCCCTTCCCTTGGTCCTAGTGACAGACCAAGGCACAATTCCACCAAAATGCACTCTAGGAAACCAATGAGTTTACTGGGCTTACAGAGCAGTGGGTGAGGGTTTACCTACAGGAGTGTGCCATTCCCCACCTAAAGCCGCACAAAATGGCACAAAAGACCCTCCCCTATTTTTCCCCAGCCTATATATTCCAACCCCTCCCCTTCACACACAACCTCCCTCATACCCCTGAACTCTGCCAAGAGAGTATGCTGGAAATATTTCACCTGATTATTTTAAGATATTTTTGTCTCATAATATTTTCTCTAGGTTTAATGACTTGGCCCAAGGGCTAAAACTTTTATAATTTTTGTGTTAACAGTCTGTCCTTAAGCCCCTCCAGCCCTGTTGCTGCTGCATCCACCCTCCCACTCCCCTCCCCCAGGCTTCTAGGAGGGCTGGACAACATTTTAGATAAGCTTTGGAAGACAAAATTGCCAAAGGTTTAAAAACTCAGAAATTCTGGTCAACAGGCTAGAAATGAAAGCATAAAATGAGATTCCTTTCTAGAAGAAAAGTAAATTTGTGTAACCCACCTTGAAAATCCTTTACCCTAGAAAATTTTGCAAAATCTGTTTGTTGCAGGATTATATGTAAGAGAAAAAAGTGAAGATTGAAAGTTGAGGATGAGAGGGTGAAGGAAAAATATAAACAAGTCTTTAGATACTTTATATTTTAAAATAGTTTTAAAGCCCCTACGAGCTGTGCACATGAAATATTCTCAAATATAATGAGGTTTTTTTTTTTTTCCTGATGGTCCATATCAATGGAGCTTATGAAAGCTCAATTAAACAAACACGAGATCTTCTAGAAATAAATATAGAAGAGCACTGAGACATAGACAAGCAATAGAAGCATAATAGATACAAAATTAGATAATGATTTGCCATAGAACTCAAAGTTCCTACTGAAATGTATTTAATAGAAAAGTAACACTGATGTAATTTTCCCTCCAAAAAAAATGTAATCCTTGAAAAACTGGAAATTTTTAGTCATTGCTTTATAGAATAAAATCTCCCATGTTGTGTCCTGGCTTGGGTAGTTGGTGATATATTAAAAATAGAGCAGTATTCTTCACATGAGTCCTTAAATATCCCAAGCCTTTTATAAATAAAATCTGAAGCATTTAGCACACTGATGCCATCCTACCTAAAACCTGCATTATAAGTCAATCAAAATCAGAACTGTAGTTAGAAGAAACTTGCTTTAAAACTGCTTCATTTCACAGCTCTCAAGCCTCATGAAAAATTGTTCAGCATTCATGGCTCAGCTCCAGAAGAGCTCCTGCCCATCAAAGCACTATGCCATGCTTCCTCAATGGTAGTCCTTACATTCAGCAAATCTGCACTGGGTACCCTCTGTGTATAAATGACTTCATAAGGTGTTTAGAATGCTTTGAAAGGTATTGAGGCCTGGGAAATGGCTCAGTGGATAAATCACTTGTAGGATAGTCTGAGGACCTAGGTTTGAATCCTCAGTACCCACAGAAATGCCTGATGGACAAGGCAGCCTCCCTAGAATCCTAGTGCATGGCAGACTGAGACAGAATTCCCAAGGTGAACTCTAGGTTAAAGTAAGAGATTGCCTCAATATATAAGGTAGAAGGAGAGAGGAGGAGACACCCAATGTCAACCTCTGCTGCACATGCACATACATGCACCTAGACATAAACACACATACATGCATATATATGCAAAAAAATGCACTGAAATGCAGCACCAAGGGGAGATGGGAATCCAAGGCTTTCAGGAAGCAGTATCCGAGTTCATGGGAAATTTGATAATCTGTACTTGGAAGACTTTAATGTAATACTGTTCTACTTTGAGGAAATTTTATTTTTAAAGCTCTTTTTCACAGAAGCAGTCTTGGCATAAGAAAAAAAAAAAGGCACTGCTAAGACAAAGGCCACATAGCTTCAAGACCGGCAAATACGTGACATTTAAAAGACTTGGGGTGAGAGTGATGATGGGGTCTCCCCGTCAATCCAGGCTAAGGGCATCGTGGGGTAGGCAACACACCTCTATGGCCTAGGGATATGTGAAATCAGGTGAAGTGCGGTGGCCCCCACTGCACTGCTGTGGAATTGAAGTAGTGACTCCAGCAGCCAGTGGATGACTTCCTGACTCCCCCTCTGCCCATTGTATCCCTTCTCACCTCCGACCTGCACCTTGCCTGCTGCTGGGATGAAGTACTCCAGTCATTAAGTTCCTCTTCAAATAAGTTATTATAGATTTCTATTTCTGCTTTTCTTTTCCCTCCTACTGAAAGGAGGAGTAAGGGTTTTCTTGTTTGTTTTTTATGTGGGTGAATAACTCAAGATGTTCTGCCTGGAAGGACTCCTGAACAAAAAGGACCTTCTGTGAGGGAGTTTTCCTTGTTGGTGTGTGCTGCCCCCGCCGCATTTTAATTCTAAACAGCATGGAAGCCTTCCCTTCCTAATGCTTATGCTGCCCCCAAAGGTGCCTATTCTATAGGATTCTGGGGGATTATTTCACTTTGGGATTGCTAAAGGCTTTGTACCTGCTTTTTAAACTGCTTGGTATTGCCAAATAAAAATCCCCTCTTTGAGGATCAATAGTTTCTTTTAGTTTCCAAAAACATTTGCTTTAAGAAGCAAGATATATGCAACTGCAATGTAACCTATGTATGAATTCATAAGAATTGGGAAAATTTAAAGAATTTAATTTGAAGTTCATCAGGCATCTGTCTGTGCAGCCTCCTCCTCCCCAAGGCCAGTCAATAAAATCCGTGCTGCTGAAAACCTTCATCTGGGCTTCCTCTCCCCATGTCCAGGGGTCTGGCTTGAAATGTACATGATACTGGAACAACATTCCTCTGAGACCTTGTATGTTCAGAAGACTGTAGCTGATGCAACAGGAAAGACAGTCAATAAACAAGCCTACCCAACCTGGCCTCTGAGCATCTGACCAGAAGGCAGAGCAGTTGAGTCTTGGCATGCCGCCTTTCCTCACTGGACACTTTGAAACTGGAATCAGATCAAGAATTTTTGTTCTATATATGGGCATTTATCCATGTGAATTACTTTTTTGGGTTCTCTTTCACTCTTACCCACACATCCAATTTTCCATATGCCTTCTTTTCAGAAGCAAATGGCTTTCTGGTCTGGGTG